ACATCAAAGGCCTCACTGTGGCAAGAGAAGGAGCCTCAGCCATCTCCAATTCCTCAAACAAAGGATTCAGAACTGACTGAGGCGCCTCTTCCATTTGATTTTCTGCCTCTGATTCCCTCTAACAATTTAACCCAGCACACAAGAAGCACAGCAATAGCAAAAAGCCCAAAAAACCCATTAGAAATATGGCTAACCTTCCACCACAAAAAACTACACACCTTTAATTTTATCCTTTTGCAACAGCAGATTGTTAGTACTGCAAAGGGAGAGCCAACACCCAGTACTCCAATTATCCAAACCAAAGTTTCCAGTAACCATTGTGGAGACTCTGCATGGATAACTGACCCATCAGGGAAACCTGCAGAAATATTCAATTGAGAAATAGATAAGTTTTTAGATTTTTCTGCAATATCTGCCAGGGTCCCCCTAGTAGTTTTGGGAAGGGCCTCCTCTACAGGCACCATCTCCTCTGCAGGAACATGTTCTAACTGGGTTTCAGGCACAACAGTCACAACATCATTTTTATTAAAAACACTGTTGTCTTGATCCTGGATGGTAGCAGTTTCTTCCTCCCAAAGTACTGTTGTAGGTTGACTTGTGGTGCTGATCCTTTGCTTGATTGGCACAGTTGATGAGGTCAGTGGTGTTGTTGATGATGTTTTGTGTGGTGAAGTCTTCTGGACAGGTTTTGAAGTCCTGGACTCTTCCTTGATTGTTTTTTGCTTCTCTGAAAAAATGGAAAAGTTGAATTACTAGGCTCTATGGTGATATTTTAACAACTCACTTGTGTGTTTGAAGAAACAGTGACTCCAGGGTCTCACAATTTCTTCCATGCCTAGAACTTTCCCTGAACAGAAGGTCCTGTTGAATAACCTGACTTCCTGAAAATTTATAAGAAAAAGATCAAATACATGGTTACCTTTACATTTCTAGGAAGAACTCACCTTCAGGCCCTTATACCTGATGCAGTCCAAGTCCAAGGAATCCCCAACAAAGTCCACTTGAAACTTGTGGAGAGCTGGTCTTCTGACTTCACAGATGTCTTCACAGGCAAGCCTGCCTCCAACTTCTGCACAGGAACTAGCTCCACCATCTTGAAGAGTCACCAACAAGACCTAGAAAAATTGAATGCATTTAAAAATCCATATTTTCACTGTTTTGGTGCAAAAACTTACCCGAAGAAGTGTAGATGTCACTGCTAGACAAAGTCCCATTTTGCTCCTTTTTGTTGATGATTTTATTTCTTGGGAGCTGAGTGATTTGTTTTTGGCTATTTTTGTGGTCCCTGACGTGTTTAATGGCTCTCTGAAGCCTTCACAACCGAATGCCGTCGGACTTTTCGCAAAAATTATGCGCTCGATAATTACGACGATGGAGCGCGACGGACGAAAAAAGGGTCTTCGAAATGCCCTTAATTAACACAAAAAAAACTGCCTAGACACCAAAAAGATCAAGAAAAGAAAGCAGGACATTAAAAATTAGCACCATCAGAACTTTCACTGAGACTTACTTGAGATGTAGTCTCCACCAGAAACGAGCCATAAATGAGGCCTGAATCCTTTTGGAATGTCTCAGGAAGGAAAGAAACAAGTATTGATACCTGTTCCTTCCCAGAGTGTGACTTTTTGCCACATTCCTGTTCCCAGATGAACCCAGTGAACTCCTGCATCTGAGATCCTCATATGGGTGCCACACAAAATGTGTGAGTTCAAATTGAACACCAGAGTGATTTCAAGAACTTTTCAATGCAGTGACATACCATATGGGAATCGATGCCCAGATATGTCATCATTCAAAAGACATCGATTATATTCACTTTTTCACTTGGAATCTGGCTTTTTGCATGAGCACTTTTAGAAACGCTTATGATTGGCTCTGAAAAGGTGGAACTTTTCTTTCAATTTGTCTGGGGAGCGTTTGTGATCCAAGACTTAGTGTCCTGTACTAGAGCAATAATACCTTGCGCATTAAAAGACGCAGATCATGGAACGGTGTTGCATAGCAACTCGTCGCTCCGAAGCGCACGAGGTCAGTTGTCTAGACAGCGGTCATTTACCTGCCCTACTTTTGAATTGGTTGCATCCTGCTTGCGCAGTCGCGTCTGGAACGCGTTGAATCTATAAAGGGTACTTGCGCGCATTGAACTAACATTCATTCGTGTGTCTGGCGTTGACTGAGGTAAACCAGAAATATACGTATCCACTCTAAACTGAGAAGTCGTGTTTTACTTACAAACCCCGGCCATAAGAACAAAATCTTCTTGTTGAAAGTTTGTCTTAGAGAATTTACATTCACTAGATTAATTGACTCTGTAGAAAAGACGTTTTCTTCAGATCAAAAGTGTCTTAAGATAAAATTCTTACGGAATTAGGACAACANTGGTTTTGCAACCGTGAGGTCGCGCATCCCACGCATGACAACCTTTAAACCAAGTAAGACTTAGCTGGATATGAAACCCTGTTTTTGCATGACTGCATGTTTTCCTTGGGTGTTTCCTTTTGTCTTTTGTCTCCAGCCTTGGTTGCAGCCATTCCTGAGGTTGGTGGAGGAGGCCAGGAGGGTGTTGACGCCGCCGGTGACACCTGCGTTGTCCGCTTTACCACCGCCATCATTGGCTGAAGTGGTTTCTGATCTTCTGTCCTTGGATCTTGCTCCGTCGGCTCTTCCACTTCCCATTCCAGCTGTTGTTCCTGTTATGGAAGAAGCTCAAGACTCCTCGGTGAATGTTAGCTCTGATGACTTTGTTTTGGTCGCAGAAGAGTAGGCGTGTAACCGTTAGGAGGAATTAAAATAAAAAAGAGCTTTGTACAGAAAGAAATTCTGTTTACCTTTACTCTTTTTCAGCTGGTACTCAGGGAAAGAATTCCGGTGGAAGGGTTCATGCGGATTCTGGGATACTTTGGTGCGGGTCGGGACGGGATGGATTCTGTAACCAATTTGAAACGCGCCGACATATCATTTAAATCTATTGCTTCTAAACGCCTTCTTCTCTGTAAAACATATTGTATCCTCGCGAAACAGAAATATACAATCGCGATAAGAATAATCGTTGGTAATATAATTAAAACAATGAGATAAATATAACCGTTATCCCGAAAATGCAGTTGTAACTCACTAATCTCCTCAATAATTGATTTATTCCTGGAACATTAGCCGGGATCTCATTAATTGCATTTATCTCAATGTTTTCCAGTTTTGGGGTCATTTTGCGAAATGGCCCGTAATCACGGTATAACGACAATTAGGTCTAAATTGAATAATACCTAAATATGGCAACTCATAGGTATTTTTGGATGCTTGAGCGTTAGTTTCAGAACAATATTGTGTAATACGCCCTTTGTCTGAGTCAATAAAAGCAAATTCGTCTGCATCTAATTGTATAACCGTATTTTTGGGTACTTCAGTTTCGATCAACGGACATTTACTTTTAATTGTGGACTCCAGATCTCCATTCTGAATTGATTTAACACAATCATTAGCTTCGTAGACTGGAGGCCTTGGAAATTTGCAAAATTTGCATAGGGCATGGCCGTTTTGCGGTGAACATAAGGGTAATTCACTTGCTTGTAAAGCGAACATTTTAGCACCTTGAGTAAGCAAATATGGTTCTGACAAGTTTACCTTATGCCACTTGGGCGCTCC